CTATACCATTTTCCTTTATTATTTATTTATATAAAGTTAAATTCTGCGGGCAGTACGTCGACCGATCATGCGCGAAAGCTTATAAGACACGGATCGATAACGGTCTCCGAATTTGGATATTTTCTCAAAAAACGGCGTTTTCTGTGGAAAAAAAGATTGTTTCAAAGACAAATTTAGGAAGTACACAACACTACATTTATACGTCATATCACAAATATTTCCGACTTTGTATGGTTTCAGAGGAGTTGCGGCTCAATGAAATCGGCTTCTTCCTTTAGAAGTATAGATTATTATATACTGAGTAGAAAATGCATGTAAATTGTATGTGTAATACGATCAATGGCAATCGTGCTGTATCAGCCAGCCGTGATGATATCGATACCAGTCACGATAACAAAGGCTTCATTACACCCTTAACTGTGACGTCACGTCATCTATATCAGTCCCACTTGCCAAGGCTTTATCAGACCCCTTATCTGTATATTACGTTATGTCGCGAGGAAAACATCTACTTGAGGTATATAATAAACGTTTATATGATATGGCTTTTTCAATATCACACACCGTATCAACCCTCAACCAATATAATCCCTCGAGCAGATCTCTTGGGATTATATTGGTGTCTCGGGTTGATACGGGTGTCATATATATGATATTCTCTATATATTTAACGTTGTTCCAATGTTGGGCCAACCGTTTATTTAAAAAAATGTGCAACGTTAGCACAACGGAATGCCATCGTGTTGGACCACTTTGCACTTAGAACCTTGGGATAACGTTGTGTGTAGATGTTTGGCCAACGAAGTCGGATGCTTTTGGCCAACGATGTCCCAACGTTAATTTTCTATCTGGGAAGTCACTTGAATAAATAACTAGGTGTTGAAAATTATAAATTTTCCACTTCCTCTGTTAAATCAAATATTATACCTTTCTGTGCTAGTTCGTATATTATTAACAATTGAATAGGGTGTCAAGAAATACCTAGTCATTTCGGGTCAGCATATCCAATTGACATCATTATTGCAGGACATCATTCATAAGATATTTAATCTATCTGTACGCGGGTTAGGTTTTATAACTGTTTGATGATGTTTACATTTAGCTTTACAATTAAAAATATACCTCATCATATCAGAGGCATATACAACAATTGTATTATATGTCTCTGGTCATAATCTTTTTAAAAAAAAACGTGATCTTATTTTGGAAATTAAAAGGGGGAAATGCAGTACAAAAAAAAACAACTCAGAGGACTTTGTCAAAATTGCAGTTTTTATAACACTAGACAATAACAAAGACAATAAGAACACGCTTTCTATTAATATACAAGAAACGTTTAGGCTATATTGTTAAGTTCATTCAAAATCAAAGCACCGACGTACTGTTAACACAGATGACCCCAAGATATGATGGCTGTCAAACAAATACTACATAATTCAATCTCCATGTAAACTGCTAGAAGTAACTTGCAGTTGTTTTCTTACGTCTAGTATCAAATATTTGAATAAGTTTTACGACGATAATTACATATTTAACAGTTTATCAATCTGGTATATTTAACTTTAAAATCAAAGGGGTAGGGCCAATTTCATCCTGAATCTATTTCACAATAGCGACAATTAAGATTTTTTTTCAATCTTTTTAATTACTTCAATTCACAGTATCATAGCTCCATGGGTGTACTTACCCAGTTTGTGCAAGCGTAAGGTTTTTTTCAAAGTGTTTTAAACACCAAAAAGTGTCATTAAATTCTATTGGGTAGCATAACTTCGGATTCCTTGAAGGTCATCCTTGTTAAAATTAAGTCGTTCTAAATGAGGAGTAAGGACTATAAACTTTATTTTTAATCTATTGTAAATTTTTACTCTTTGTTGTATTTAATACAGTTATGATATTTAATTTAGTTAAATAATGCGTTAAACTTTATTAAAAAGGATAGAATGTATGTACCAACCACAACAGAATAACGAGGTACATGCAAACACTATGTCATCAACAGTTACTTCCCCTAATTTCGATCATAATAGTTGGACATGGACAGTTTATAAATGAAAATTACACTTTATTATTTCGTGAGTCCGGAGCGCTTTTCTGGTTTTACCTTCATCAGGAACGCTCAAACCCAAACATTTGATAGCCAATGATGTACATAAGAACTAAACACGTGGATACCTATATAGCCAATGATGTACATAAGAACTAAACACATGGATACCTATATAGCCAATGATGTACATAAGAACTAAACACATGGATACCTATATAGCCAATAATGTACATAAGAACTAAACACATGGATACCTATATAGCCAATGATGTACATAAGAACTAAACACATGGATACCTATATAGCCAATGATGTACATAAGAACTAAACACATGGATACCTATATAGCCAATGATGTACATAAGAACTAAACACATGGATACCTATATAGTCAATGATGTGCATAAGAACTGAACACATGGATACCTATATAGCCAATGATGTACATAAGAACTAAACACATGGATACCTATATAGCAAATGATGTACATAAGAACTAAACACATGGATACCTATATAGCCAATGATGTACATAAGAACTAAACACATGGATACCTATATAGACAATGATGTACATAAGAACTAAACACATGGATACCTATATAGCCAATGATGTACATAAGAACTAAACACATGGATACCTATATAGCCAATGATGTACATAAATACTGAACACATGGATACCTATATAGCCAATGATGTACATAAGAACTAAACACATGGATACCTATATAGCCAATGATGTACATAAGAACTTAACACGTGGATACCTATATAGCCAAAATGGACCTAAAATTAGCCAAATTCATCTCCGGTCTATTTTGCCTGAGGAAGTTTGAACTTAAATGTCTTCATAATTTCTTAATTTATCGACGGATAAATATTTAATATCATCTATGTAAATTTCCAAGTCTTGAGTAGCAAATTAGATACGACCTGTCGTAGCCTATGGTGTTTGCGTACAGTTTAGAGGCTATATTATGAAGAATAAGCATCACTGACAGGGATATTAATCGTTTGACTAAAAAATGCTTTAAATATCAAGACAATGAGAAAAAACGACTGAAATAACTTCACAATTAAGTTCTATTATGGAAAGAAAGGATGGATATGGTGTATCAATTTCGGACAGAAAATCACTAAGGGCACTAAAAGTAAGGGACCAGCACTTTTATGGCTGTTCTTCGTCCAACCTTCAAAATAGAGCAAAGATGCTCGAAATAAACTACAAGTCCAACACTATGGTCCTTATCACAAATGTGTTGATCCTGACAGTGTTTGATTTTAACAAGTTACAATTATTAGGGTCTGGAAGGGGTTTACAGAATAGAAAATAATGGGCAAAATGTGCAGAATAATGGGCAAAACGTGCAGAATAATGGGCAAAACGTGCAAAATAATGGGCAAAACGTGCAGAATAAAAGGTAATAAATATGCAGAATAGAGAAAATGGACCAATAATATAAAGAACAGAGAAATGTGACATAAATAATTAAAGAATAAATAAATGAACGACCCCCCCTCCCCCACCATCCAGACCCTCAAATATCAAAAATCACACATGCCCACTTGTTATTCTAGCAATGTCAAAGAGTTTGTCACGGTCCAACGATTTACAGAAAAGAGCGACGATTTACAGAAAAGAACAGAAAAGAACAAAAAAGAACCGAAAATGAGCCGAAAAGAGCATTATTCATAATTTTAATATGGTTAATAGTTCCGCGTAATAAGTGGACGTATCATTCAAACTATGATAGTAAATTGTATCGGGGAAATGCGGACAAAAAAGAGACTGTATATATTAACTTGGTTTATTATAATATTTTTTTTTTATATTTGTATGATACATTATTATCTATATTTCTTATTTAAGATTTTAATCTTAAACAAAAACAGATAAAAAGCAAAAGCTATCCTGCTTTTAATGTTTATCCTGGCTTTTCTAAAAAGTGCTTTATTTGTTTAATATATATAAAGGAAGTCAGCATATTGGTAGGGTGGCATTGGGTATGCTTTTTTGTAAACAATCAAATGTTTAAAACAAATATTTCTTTTTAAATTCAGTATAATAGCCCTATACCTGTATTGTAGAAGGCAGCTGACTCTATCTGCAATATATAAGGAGGGTATTTGTTTTCAAATATTAGTTATGTCCTATCTCAGTATAAGGTTTCTAAAATGAATAAGAAACTTTTGTAGAGACTATCTCAAATTCATTTATTAGGGTCTGGATGGGGTTTACAGAATAGAGATCAATGAGTAAAAAGTGCAGAATAAAGGCAAAAAATAAAATAAAGAAAAGAGTAAAATAGGCCCTCAAAAAATAAAGAATAGAGAATAATATGGGATGTTAAAATATAAAGAATAGAGAATGAAGGGCAAAATAAATAAAGAATAGATAAAAAATTGTTTAAAAAATTAAAAGAATTAAGAAAAAAAGCACCCCAATCCAGACCCTCATTTTTAAACTTTAATGTGTTTTTGCAATTTGCTATTTTCCATCTGTTAAAAAAATCGATTTCTTTTTCGGTTCTTTTCTGTTCTTTTTGGTCCTTTTCGTTTTTTTTTCTGTAAATCGCTGCTCTTTTTTAAGTCGACGGACCCGGTTCGTCATGTTCCTGGGTTATATATTTACCTTTGTTTAGTTTTTTCAATCATAATTCTGGTACATGATGCCTGCGTAGCAGTAGATACTAACCCTGTTGACGTTTCTGGTCATACTAAGAATTCAGCTATGTTGTGTTTCGTACACTGTTGTTTGTCGTTTAGTCGTTTTTAGTTTTTTACCATGGCATTGACAGTTAGTTTTCGACTTACGAGTTTAAATGACCCTTTGGTATCTTTCGCCTCTCTTTTGATATGATTCTGACAGGTTGTATTCAAAAGTTTTAATGTTACCTGTTTGTGTGTGGACTTATGTCCCAATTGACGTCGGAATGGTTCCCATTTGATCGTTTTTTCAATGATTTTCATTCAACAAATAAATAAGAAAAGAATTTTACCGTGAATAACGCGAATTATATAAATTTCATAAATGAGACAATATTCGCTGCATTATTGCACAAAGACAATTCAACAAAGAAATGAGATCTTTCTCTTGATAACATTTAAATAGGACTGGATATTGTTACGTTAAGTGTTTAAGTTTAACAAAAAATTGTATCACACATGAATTCTAGGAATCAGTAACAAATCACCACCTGGTCCGTGTTTCTTCGAAGTACCAAATAAGGAATTCATCATAATGAAGATAGTTTGGATTGTAAGACTTCTATTTTTCGTTGGTCTTATTTACGGTAAGTTTTTTTTTCGAACCGAGTATTCAAATGATTTGTACATGGCTCGAACATTTTGATTATGGCAAAACATTATTACGCCATTAAAACAAAAACAAAAACTTTTTTTGTGTAACTTTCAATTTTGACACTAGTATATCATTGACAGTGAAGCTCGATTTAATAGCAATGAATTATAGATGAAAACAAAATACAGCGACAAAAACGTTTCTTTAATATGACAGAATTGACCATAGGCATATAATACTCTGTGTCTGTACATATAATTTTAGAAATTAAAGATTTTCTGTCCTCTAATAAAAGAAAATTGGGTTTCATTTTAAACCAAGCTTTACGCAAAAAATAAAAAAATATTTATAGAAACTGGAAGATATAAAAATATATCAAGAGAAAATAGAATTTGTTGTAATGGGAAAATGAACAACATTCCTTAATTAAATGTGAAAAATACCACAATGAGAGAAAACAAATTTTTGACTATCATTAATTATCATAAACGTGAATTTTTTATATTTTATGAGTAAATTTTTCTATGCGGATTTGCCATAAACGTTATATAAATTCTTACCTAAGATATGTAATATGTGTATTACTTTATATAAATGCTATTGCATTTTATAAGTATATAATACAAGACAAATTAATCATAATTAGTAATATACATGTACGAAGTTGGTTTTTTTTTTTTTTTTTTTTTATTTGTCTCATTTATATTATATCAATCAAGTAATTGTTTCTCTCAGTAATGTTCATTTGTATTTGTTTATTTGTTTATTGTTATCCCCAGTAATCTCATGTTAAGTACCCCTTGTGGGCCCATTAATGTTATATAAAGTATCATCTATTGTATGTGTTACGTGCCTACACAATTAAAATACTTTGCATGATGAAAAAAACATATAAGAATAATACAACGTGTGAAAAATCTTTTGTTACAAATAAATAGAACTTCAACTACAACGTTTTCACATTTGATCGATCATCCAGTGCAGCTTTAAGTTATGTTCGTGTTTGATTATAATTTGTGGATTTTAAATGCAAATGATTTTGTTCTTTGTTTTTTTTTTTGTTTTTGTCTTACTCATCTTATTGTTTTATTTGTAATGTTATGGACTATTAATAATCAAATACAGACAATAATTGAAATACTAATATAAAAAAGGCTAAAATCTCATCTGAAACTTTAATTTTTTTATTGGAATCTTTATGCCAATTTAAAATTAAAAAAAAAAAGAAATAAAATATTCCCAAGTGCTATACAAAATATATATTCGTAATATTGATATTCCAACGAAAATATGTTGCAATCATTTCCTTTTTTTTATATCATAAGACAAGTACATCCAAGAGGGCGATTGTGTGTATCTAATTTACGGTAATAATGTAAATATTGTAAACCAAGGCACAATATTATTATTAGTAGCAATTCCTTTGTAATGGGTAATCTTGCATCCTTCACTTTTGGGCTTGACCGTTTAATTCCCTACAACCTTTTTTTAATAATAAATTTTTGAGTGAAATCTTCGAAATAATTCATGCTACTAAAAAACGTATCCCTGCTAAATAACACTTAACAGATGAATGAGAGTAAGTTGCTTGAAATAAATATGCTATAAAATTCCATAATTCATACAATGGTATCGGCCATACATTCGATAATACAAATATTTGTCTGAGCTCATTAAAGGCCAATACACCTCTCTGATAGGTCGTAAAAGTACTTTGGGCAACTGAACTTTCTATAAGGGACTCAATTAAATGATTGAAATTGATGTCAAGAAATCTTCTGGTATCTCTGTTGGAACCAGAGCTCTGAATCGTGACATCTGAAATCAAGAGATGACATCAGTTACCTTATTTATAGACCCTTCAATATGCACAACCTTAAACTGTATATTATTTACCATTGTCAGTAAAAAAAATGGACGAATCGGTTTCATTATTTTTTTTTATCTTATGTAAGTAAAACTACAGCATATCCATTCAAAAGTTAAAACAATACTAAATACTTTCTGACAATATTGAAAATTGGAAATTTCTTTTGATTATCTGCTGTCTCATCTGTTGGATCCGAATTCCGAAAGAACCGTTCCGTCAGAATGTATGGTTCAGTAACCACCAATGAAATAAGAGTTTTCTTAAACTCACGAATAACCAAACCAACATAATGGTACAGCGCACCGTGATAAAGTATAGGACTTAAATTATATTATGCAAAATGATAGATTTCAAAAATTTAGGAGGGGGGTATTTCAGAAATTTGACCTGGTTTTATTGTAAAGCATGATAATTGCAGGATATTCAATTACATTGAATGACATCATGGTAAAAAGTTAAATGGTGTTAGCTGCATGGTCTTCATAGTTTGTGTATAGTTGTCGAATAAAACAAAGATGACTAGCGTTTCGGAAGTCTGCTACTATTTGAGTATGGTTTAATACTTATTTGACCAAAACAAACTTGCGGGAGCAGTACCATGGAAATCTTTTCGAAATTAGAATAATCCTTAAGTAATGTTAAAATGATGGATACTTCTTGAATGTTTCAGAAACACAATGTGAAACTCGCATGTGCTTTGCCTGCAGAGACACTTCCAGCAAAGAAGGTGAAAATGACTGCCAGGTGAACACAGAAAGGATGGAAGAGCTTCATACTAAGTTAATTCACGAATATAGGAACGATACGGATGTTTTTATGAAAGATTTTGTAAACGATCCGTATGTACAGAGTTGTAGTGCTTTGGCTGGACATAACTATTGCTGCATAGAAGAACTTGAACAAAGAGGTATGTTGTTAAACTAATCATGTTATACAGTTTATAAGTTGTTTTAAAAAAAAGGGGGATATACCAAGGGAAATAAACAAAAACCCAAAGTCAAAGAAAAACCAACAACACCAAAAGACAAACGAATAAAAGACTAACAACAGTCAAAAAAAAACACAACAGATAAAATTTACGATTGAGCAACACGAACCTGACCGAATAATCGGTCATTAGAATAAAATCAGAATTTTTTTAAGTTTTGCCTTTTTACAACCATGAACAACCGCGTACGCTACAGGTGTTCTTTTCTGATTCTGAACTCCCCGATACAGAAGCAAATTAAAAAATAAGTCTGAAACGGTAAGCTGAAAAATAATGTAAACCAATGATAAAGCAGCAATCATCAGGAGGTTTGTAAAATATTTCGGCTCTTCATCGACGCGACGTCAATAAAAAGAATAAGTTATTACTAATAAGTCGGTTATGAAACTCGTCGAATATTTGAACACTGGTATACAATGTTTCTAGCTACTTTACCGGTATTATTTACCTAATGAGGGATACGTAACGACAAACAAAATCAAATAAAATTGCATTTCAACAATATTTAATGTAATACAAGTCAAAGTCATATACAAAAATATATACTTTGTATATATATTTTATATTTCAGGAATCATTCTTGCGTATATCAGAACATGTTGTGATGGCATTACTTGGTCATTTAATACAACAGTTTTAAATACACTGAAGAACGTCCAAAAAAGCAACGATTCTTTGTGTCAACATAATGCAGCATCTACAACAACAACTTGTGTTACAATGTGTCGTGGAAATTTCTGTAATGGACCAACTGCTGCGGCGAATAATTTACATACATTCATAACTCTAAAATTGTTTTGTTTGATACTAATACGTTGCTTTTCGTAATCACAGCAGTAACTGAATGAATTAAAGTGACGACAGGTGGTTCTTAAAATTAAACCAGGGGTTAGTTTTACCCCTGGACTGTTTCATCTAATATCTCCGAAAAAGGTTTCACAATTTCACATAAAAAATATATATTTCCAAATAGAAAATAACATACAAGTAAGTAACGGAAAAATGGTTTATTAAAACAGTCATCTCTGTAAATGATTCAGTAGCACATGGTCTCAAATTCAGAGAAGAATATTTCAAAAGACGTTAAATATTACTATGACTACTTCAGAAATGTTTGATATGACAGTTCAAGGTTGTGAAGTATTGAGTACCATTAAACAATGCACAAAGTACTTGTTACTCCTTACTTATATATGTTAGTTATGAAAATCAGATGATAGATAATTTGTCTTAATCTCACTTATCAGTTCTTTGCTATTTCGTCTGTGTATATCTATTTTTCAGATGAATAAAATATGAAGCCTCACATGTTAGAAAATGTACATATAACTACGTATAATACCAGAAGATAGATCATGATAGATAATTTGTCTTATTCTCACCATGGAAGTATTATAGTCAATGTAATACTTCCAGGTTCTCACTTATCAGTTCTTTAACACATGACATAGACAAAATCTCTTTGTTCTAATGTGCTGTAATCTGGATAATGCACAGCTAAGGTGTGCATTATCTTCCTCAGGATTGGCGGATCCAGGATTTTTCAAAGGCATAGGGCGTAAATCAATAATAAAAAGTTTGACGATTTTAGGATTAAACACTTTACATTTTCCAATTACGCCCTTTTCGCCTCCCTTTAAATCTCGCGACGCTGACCTGGCAAGTACGACATAGTTGATCAATTAACACATTTGTGTACACTTTGTCATTTCAAATTATGAAATAGAAAGTGCTTTTCATTCCTTAGAACACTTTATGATATTATGTGTACAATTTAAATCTTAAATCAATGTTTCAGAGTCAAACAAGATAAAAACAAATTGCAATTTCTTAAAATATCCAAATAGCTGAAACCTTGTTTTGGATTAGTTTTGTTATAAATGGAATTTATAGCGACTTTTTTAAAATTAATAATTCCTTTTAAGTGACTATTTCGGGATCAAATTTAATGCGGTTTATATTCAAATATGAGCCAAAACATAAAAAAAATATACTTGTAAGTTGGACATCATCCAGACTTCCTTTAGATGGGACATGTCTTCAGAATGAATAAAGATATAAAAAAAATTATGGGGAGGGGTTAAAGAATGAAAATTAAAACGTTTTTTGTTTTGTTTACTTTGAACTATAAATTTAAGTACGTCTCTCTTCGATTAATCTTGAGGGAATGAAAAGCAATACTCAATAACCTTTTCATTTATTATTTGTCATAAACCGATTTAAAAGTACATCAAACGGAAATAAAACTGTAGAAGATGTGGGTTATACGCCAATAAGACAGCAATCAAACGACAAAAACCACATAAGCACATCTATAGAGGGCAACATATATATAGTATTCAACAATAAACAGGTGTCTAAACAATATGTCAAGTTCTAAACCGTTTATGTCGGTTCAAAAGCTCACTCGGAGCTTAAGTTGTATTGTTATTTGTCTTGCCGACTTAAAAGAACTTAAACTTAAAATATATGATTTCATTTGATCGTCACGTATTTATATTTAACAATTGTGAATAAATTCAATAGAAACAATCAAAGATCTGCCATTAAAACATAATTCTCCAAATACGGTAACAATTTAGGAGAAAGTCGGACTATAAAAAAAATTTTAATTTAAAAGTTATCAACCTTTTACTACTTAAATGCGTATTTCCCCCTTTTTTAACCCTAACAGAAAACTTTCCCATAACCCATGGATTGAATATCGTCCGAATATTTCCAAAACGTTCATGTAAATTGCTGGCGTCATGTGTTAAAACAGTTATTGACCAATCAAATTGGCACATATCATTTAATCTGTACGATCGGGGTGACCCATTAACCCGAACTCCTACGTCGTTCGGGTCAATTAGGGTCACCCGAGCCGTAAAGATTAAATGACATATATCGACTTGCCTGGTCAATAACTTTAACTTATACTTTTTCGTCTACGTATTTTTATTTTTCAGATTAGTAAAATATGCGGCCTCACATGTTTGATTAGAAAATGTACACATAACTATGTACAATACAAGTTCATATGTTATTTACAATGGCGATACATACATTATGATACTTCAAAACTAATAACCAATGCAATCAAAAACAGTCATTCAATGCTAGTACGGGGTTGAAAATTGAGCAGTAACAGTTAAGGCTTACACGTCCAAAAAATCAGGTTAACGTCCTGTTTTGTTGGGTTTGTGTTTATAAATCTTCAATGTTCTACATTGTGTTAGGTAGATAATTTATTTTAATCTTTTCGAATTTTTTTCTGTTGGACATTGTACAGTCGGTCATTTGACTTTCGCTTATGTTGTTGGTGTCCTGCTTGAGAACTACATTTAAAATAAGAAACAACATATGAACAACAAATATAATAGGAGTACAGCATAAACTATAAGATTATAAACCAATGCTTCATGCTAGGGGTTCTGGTTTGGGGAAGGTATGTGATGAGTTAAAAACCGTTAAAAAATACTGAATCAACTATGTGAAAAGGGCATACAAATCAAAATCTAAACCACTATACACAAACGAGACAGTTCAAAAAGCACACACACATAAAAACAAGAAAATCGAACACAGGACAGTAAATTATGTGGAGGCATGTAAACAGATTCTTCCTATAGCGGGCCGAACGAATAAGAAATAAATAAATATAAACATGTTTAACCCACTTGTTGATCATATCATCAAACACTAAATGGCAGTTTCCAAGACGACATTAAAGAAATGTTTTATGGATTCTATCTTTTCCAAGGAAATTTGACGGACGACATTATAGACTGCATCGTTGATTAATATTATCGAAATGACATCCCCTACCACGAGGACTTACCCACAAAGGTAAATTCGCAGATGGAAAACTGTGAATAGCATTTTCAAGACGTTGGATCAAAGCGTACCATTGAACAAGTGTTTGTACATCAGCAGTTTTACGCTAAGATAAGACAAATGGAATAATTTCTGTTAGCTATGCACTTTTTTATAAATATTGTTTTTGTAGTAAATATTCTGTAAAATTTTATGCTATTTTCACGTTTTTAGTATGTCTTGCTCTTTTCCATTCGAAATTACAATAACAGTACATGTAGTTTTCCATTTTAACACTCTATTACTATTTTCCACGTAGACAGCAACTTGGTTTGAAAAAATACAGCTCATATCTAAATCATTAAATATAGATTAAATGTGGCTTACCACTTGAAATTCACTCCATGATTAGTTTTTAAACAGCAGTAACCTGTATAATGATGGGGATGACACGGTTTTGGGATGTGGGATACACTTTGTAAAAAAGTAGGGATTTGGGATATAGGGGTAAACAAATGTAGGGATATGAAAAAACGAAGGGAGAAAAAGTGAAAAGTGGGGGAAAAAAAAAAGCGGGATCTGGGAAATCATTCTCTAAATTTGATACGAATTTCGAGTGGAAATCTCCCAAGATCTCCATAAACCATATATGTTGAAATAATTAATATAGTCATACTACATACATGTGTATCTAAGTATGCATAACCATCCAGACCCTAATAGGCAAAGTAAAATTTGAAAACTTCCATGTGTTCCCCTATCTCTCCACAAAATAGTTTTTAGCATTTAATTTATTTGTTTATTGCTACCAGCAAAATGCTTGAGTCCAGGAAAATATGTTTTTGATTTGCACAAGTCATGTCTTCTTTGACTGTCCATGACGTTAAAATACTAAATCCCTGGGATGTGTTTTAGTTGATTTTAGTCTCTGATGCATGATTTTTTATTATTAATTGTTTTTGGCTTTTAACTAGCTGCCAGTAACTGCGAGTACTCTCAAATCTTACTTTCTTGTTTATTTGACCTGTTGATACTAATTGTAATGCTTTTTTGTTATTTAATGTTATTCAGGGTTATATCTGGTCTATATACCAGCTTTGATAAGTGTTTGATATTACTATAAATTTTCACTTCATTCTATAAACATCAACATTATTTATTTTGTAAAAATATTTCCTTTCTCTATTTGAACTGTACAGTTCCGATGTTTTTATGAAAGCTTATAAAAATGATCCGTACGTACAGAATTGTAGTGCTTTGGCTGGACATAACTATTGCTGCATAGAGGAGTTTGAACAAGGAGGTATGTTGTTAAACTAATCCTATTTAACAGTCTATAAGTTTTTGTTTTAAAAAGACAAAACACAACAGACTTACGATTAAGCAACAGAAACCCGACCAAAAAGTCGGTCAATAGAATACAAAAGCAGAAAAATTTAAAGCTTTGCCTTTTAAAAACCACGAACGACAGTGCACGCTACAGGTGTTCTTTTATCTGAACGTCATTTAAACAATTATTGTGTACCGTACCTAGTTTTGTTTATCAAGTATTGTCTAATTAAAATTAACGATATTTTTGAATTGACTAGGAAGAAAAGGAAGTGCTTCAATATTTCATTTTTTTTTACGTCGAGAAGGAAAATGAGAAAAAACTGTATTTTTGTGGCCTGATACAGGTTATGTTCTTCTCGTACATTTTATGATGGTTTGTTACTAAACCCCTAACGGGAGGGATTGTGCGTGATTTTCATATGATGAAGACATAATCTTGTGATCATTTTGATTGAGGTCTGGAGCTGGCATGTCAGTAACTGCTGGTAGTCCTTTGTTAATTTATGTTATCATTGTCATTTTGCTTAGTTTCTTCTGTTACCTATTCTAACATCGGAATCCGACTTCTTTTAAAGTGAGCTTTACTGTGCGTATTTTGTTTGTTTATTCCACATTGGCTAGAGGTATAGGGAGAGGGTTGTGATCTCACAAAAGATGACGTTTTTTTATTCCCGCCACATTTTTTGCGCCTGTCCCAAATCAAAAACTTCTGGACTTTGTTAGTCCTGTATGCTTTTTTTTTAATTTTGGGTCATTTATATGTTTCGAAGTTTAGTGTGAAGTCCATTTTCGCTGATCTAGTATACATTATTGTGCAGTGGCCAGATGTATCCCGCCTTCGGGTGTCGGATTTTCTCGCTGTTTTGAAGACCCATTGGTATGCTTGGGCCATTTTCTGCTCTATGGCCGGGTTGTTGTCTCATTGACATATACCCCGTTTCCATTCTGAAGGTTATTAATCAAACAATGTTTTATGTCCATAGACTACAGGGCGGCACATGTTTCTACAATGTCTGTTAATTTCGGCTTCGGATGCCTCAATGTACACATTACTTTATTTCTTTTTGTTTCACAAATATGATGTTCAACTTGAATTTGATATTCACCGACAATGCAATTCAATTTTCGACTCTTTCTCTTTAAATTATTTGGCTTCCGGTGCCGTCGATGGACCTGCTGCC